GCTTTTAACCAGGTTGAGCTCAAGAACTGTTGTGAATATTTTTCACTGGTTGAACTTCATGAACTCAAAAGAGAGCTTTTCTTCAATGGTGGAGCTCACTAACCAAACAAAGACTTCAACAAACCTCCCATATACAAACAAGAGATTATTTCGATGGTTTAGCTCTCAACTAAAATAATCACTTCCTAAGGAAGAATAATTTACTCAAGAGAAAATTTTACTCATGGTAAATTTACAATTATACCCCTCGTCAAAATAATGTCCTTAGTAAGACTCGAGAACACTCTCAAAGTACTATGACTAAAAATATGTGAGAAAAAAAAGAATTATTTATAGAGGGGCGAGAGAAAGAAAAAGTGGGGTTTTACACATTTTATGGATGTTTTGAAAAGATACAAGAGTTTTATATTTATAGGCCAAGAAATGGTAAAATTTTGGAAACAAGTCATGGGCCAATTAAATGACCTAGTTGATTAAGCTAATTGATTAGGCAATGCAAATATTCAATATTGCTGCCCAAAATGGAAGGGTTAGATATAGAGATGTTAACCATTAAGAGACTATCACAAAAATCGATTATAAACTCGATTATGAATCATCTAATCGATTAGGCCAAAGACCTAATTGATTAGACAGATGCAAGAAGTCTCCAAACCAATTAAGAACTTTCCAATTTAGCCACAATGCTTCCGAAAATTCCCGTGTCTTTACAAGACACTAACCACTCAAACAGACATGATCAAGCGAGCTTTCACACTTCCTCTTTTTCATACTCTTAAGCTTCAAGTCTTTAGTATTCTTGATGATGCTTTAGATATTTCCTTAATAGTTACCATCATCTGAGATGTTGAAAGTTTAAACGTGCGGTGATCATAAACCATATGTCTTCACTTAAGAGTGCTTGGACTGTTATGTTAACTTTAAAAGCAAATATATTTAGCTTGATTCAAAAGAATAGCTTGACAAACCACCTTGTACATCACTGACTGCTTGAACTAACTTTAGCAATTACTTGAATTCAAGTGTTATCATCATAAAAACCATGCATCATCAAAACTAAGAAGTCATCATCAAAACTAAGTAGTTATTGACTAACTTGTATCTTGCAATCCATAAGCTCCACCATCTTAGATTACTTCTCGATTATACCTGTAAGCATATATATCCATATTCTCCCCTTTTTAGATGGAGACAATGAATCTTTAAGGGAGGTTGTGAAATAAAAAAAAAGGTAGATAAAATTTGGAGACATTAAACTTCCATCACAAGAGTAGACAGTATACTCTACTCCCCCTGAAAGTACACTTCTCATTATTTGTCATAATCAAAAAGGCATATAATCTACTAGAAATGAGGTAAATATGCAAGCATACTATTCACATAGGTCAAACACATTTTTATTATAAAGGGAAAAAAACATTACTTCATTAATTCATAATCTAGAATTCAAATCACATAAGCAGGAAATTACGGGAATTGAAAAAAATCCTAATAAGCAGGAAGAACACAAAAAACATAATTAAGCACAATTTAAAATATAAGCACACATAGGTGAGACTACTCATTTCAATTAGTATCATAATTTATCTAGGTGTTTTTTCTTTATGATGGCCACTTTCTTTTGCCAAATTATGTATGGCTAGATCATTTTGTTGACACATTTTTAGAAGAGTATTAATGGTTGTATTTTCTACGGTTGTTTGGGCTACAACTCTGTCTTTATCCATCAATTTGTTTCTTAATTCTCCATGAAAGATACAAAACTTCATTTGCAAGGAGTAATTGATCTTGGTGTGAATCGGATCCATTGTTTCTCCCATAGTATACACTCTAAAAACGCTAATATTTTGGTAATTAGAGCTTCATCTGAAAGTTCGACTGTTTGACTTTTCTTATAATAGATCATGTGAAGAAGCATGTCTTAAACCCAATTTGTTGGAAACTCTTGGGTCATTAACTAGAGAGGGACTACATCTACCTCAATGATCACTTCAAGTTTGTCTTGTCTTGGGAGGAGTATCCTTGTAATCATGTAGTGGCCCACATAAATGTTTACCTTTATATAGCTTGCTTTTATAGGAAGCTTCATATCCTCCATGGGATTCATAACAAAAGAGATTATGGTAGTGGAGATTTGAACTTCTTAAATTTCATTGGCCTCTTTGTAGGTATAAGATACCCCACAGAAGGGAAGCTGGAACATTTTTCTGAATGATCTCTATGAATGTCGATTTTTATTCCTTTTACAATGGAATTTAATGATATATATTCAAATGTTAGGTTCGAGTTAAACTCTCTGACAATATTAGAGAATATTCAATCTGGTACTTTATAAAGAATTATCTTAGAAATCCTTGAAAAATGTGAATGTATGGCTTGAAGTTAATGAGGAAATTTTTCTCCATAATAGAAGGTCGTGTTATCACCTCGGATGAACATTACACTTCTTTCTTAATTTCATGAGGTTGCGCCTTCCATAAATAGTCTTATTGATAAAGAACTTCTGAATTGAATACTTCTTGTAGAAACCATATATGATGATACTTATGACTTAGATTAAAACTCACACAAAAACATAAGAAGAAATGAGAAGGAAATTATTCAAAAGAAAGGAATAGGATTACCTATTTATAGCGCTCCTTTTAACGGTTTGGGCGTGCAAAACCTCCACAAAATCATTGAAGATTTTGGAAAGAAAATATGAGAACAAAATCTTTCTAAAAGAATCCATCTAATCGATTATATTTTGGCCTGAACTTATTAGTTAATGATGATATTGAAGATATTGGACGCTCTTCATTAATGCACTTATTTGTATTTCTTGGAGCCAAAGATTCAATATGATTTTGTTTGAATTTTGAAATGTGTAGGCTATCTAATCGATTAGCTAATCAATTATTTCCTTGTTTTTTAGCTTCCTTAGTGCTTTTGAGCCTTTGGTTTATTTTTAACTTGCACACTTCTTTTGACACCCCTTTTTTATCTTGTTTGCACCCCTTTCTTGAAAAATACTAGAAAATCATACATTTTATTAGTAATAGTAA